CAATGCCACAACCAACGCAGGGACCACCACCAACGCCACAACCAACGCACGGACCACCACCAACGCCACAACCAACGCACGGACCACCACCAACGCCACAACCAACGCAGGGGCCACCACCAACGCCACAACAAACGCACGGACCACCATTAACGCCACAACCAACGCACGGACCACCACCAACGCCACGACCAACGCAGGTGCCGCCACAGCCACAGCCAGAGGGACAGCCACCAACGGCACTGCCAACGTCACCATCACCACATAGGTCGTGACCAATGTCACTGGCACCACTTTCCATTGTTGCTGTCCACAGGATAACTGATAGTGGAATTTGTTCCCCGGACAGAACATTGACTGGTGATTTGAGGCCGGATAAATACTCCGGATATTGGTATCAGTTTTCGTTCTGGGCTATTCCCCGACCAGGGCCTAATACATGCTGCGAGTGTTAAATTTTCACCATATACTAACTAGCACAGTACTACCGGTAGAACATGTACAGTAAGTACTGCTCTGGAAGAAAGTAAGTACAGTAGCACTCCGTCCCAAATCACTGACACGTTTGATGTTTGCCACATAGCGGTTTTATGACCAATCATTGGATATGTGTGAAATTTGTACCAATCAAAAGAGAAAAATCTTCACATAATTATGCGACAATAGACTCCCACATTCGCCCTGGTTTGATTGGTCTATATATATCTAATCCGTCCAGTTTTGTCAATTCAATGTAAAAAAAACTATGCACCATTCTAATATATTGAGACTCCCTTATAACGTTACTTCATCTTCCAGTCACTACGGCGGTACATGCACAGGTACAATACATGCCGAAACTGCCATTGTCACAGAGCCTATGGGTTGCTTTTGCTTTCAGATCATGCGGCCGCGCCGACTTCATCCAACGATTTCAATAATGTTATATAAATATTTCGAAATATTTCATTTCACAACTGAACATAACTTCATTCAACACTTTGATTGAATTCCAACGCCGAACTTGGAACTCGGCGGAAGGATACATACCAGGTCTACTGTAATACTATACGTTTACGTATTACTAGTACTACGTAGTAGTATTTTATTATGGGGAGTCTATTGAAGAAAAAGCAGATTGTTCCATCAGCATAACGTTACTATTGTAGTATGTCTCATCACTCAGGACGACGTCCAGTGTCCTCATGCATCCTTCCGAAAGAACCAGCTCCCAAACTCTCATTATTCAATTCGACAACAATGCAACCTTCCAGCTTCCTCCTCGCGTCGTTCCTTGTGGTGCTGTCCGTGACATCTGGCACGTCAGCCCAAGCCTGTTCTGCCCAGGGCAAAAACGTCACCGCGACGGGGTTCGTCATGGACAACTACTGCATCGATTTGGGGAAGCTTATGGACAACCCGACCGTAAAGACACTCGAGGGCCCCGAAGTGCACTCGATTCACTGCCTCGTGGACCTCAAGCCGTGTGTGGACTCGTTGTACACGTTGCTGGCGCCTCCCGAGAACGGCTCCAAGCTGTACACGGTCAAGTACCAGTTGGGTGCAGCCGGCTCCGCATTGGCCAAGAACTACGCGGAAAACGCGCGGTTGTTGGGAGGAAAGAAGGGCTTCACTGCGACCGTGACGGGGGTGGACGATGGCACGCCCGAGTTGAAGTGTGTGGAGCTGTCCAAGACGGTCGAGGTGGACGGCAAGCCGCTGACGTTATCGTCCGTGTCCCCCGTCGCCTACACCGCAGCGCCTGATGCTAACACGCCCAC